CCTGGACAGGAGATTTCTAATTTCTGCAATATTCTGCAGATGAAAGAAGGACATTCTACAAACCTCTTTAATATGGGATTTAAATGACAGGTCCTGATCAAAAACAACACCAATATTTTTTACTTTGTTATCTAAGATCTTACCTGTTATATTTATCTATATCCTTTTTCAAATATTATCTTTCTTCTGTAAAGTTGCATTTCTACCGGTTTGCATGGACTTACATTTTTATTGGTCAGTTAAGACCAAGTGTTTCTATCTGGCCTGAAGTGAAGATAGTGTGATCTGGGAAATGGAAATGGAATTTGAAAAGAATGCAAGTTGTAAAACTCAATCTGAAAAAGAGAAATCTGAATAAAACAAAAAAATATAATCAGTTAACTTTTTAAAAATATTGTAAAAATAAAATGAGAGAAAAATTTTGGGTCACTGAACAACAATAATATAAAAAAATAACCTGGGTAAATAAGACAAAATTCAAATCAGTCTTTTCATTCAAGATAAATAGTAAATGGATTGTACTTATAAAGCACTATTTCAAGTTCGGAGACTTTACATTATATTCAGTCATTTATCCCAAATCCTTTACAATTGTGCCCACAAAATAAATGTAAAGTTCTTTAAATAATTTTATATGGAAATAATTTTAGTTAATTTTAATTTGTTATTTCCAGTTGGGAAAATAGTTTCTACCCATTTTAATAGAGTCACTGACTTTGCAGCAATCATTCCTCCTGATTAAGGCACAGACATTGAATATTTAAATTCAGGGTGCCAATAACTTTGCAGCATTCCATCTTAATAAGCTTGCAGGTATTAGCATTAGTGGGGGGGTTTCTGAATTTTCTTGGTTGTTCCAAGGAAAGATGTGAAAAGTTACAGAGAGTTAAAAAGTCCACCTTCTGCTAATAATTTAACTCCCTTTTTCTTATAACACAATTTTAACAATTAAACACAAAAGTATAGAAATAATGCCACTGAGTTGGTGAAAATATTGCTTACATTTTCGGCAATATTTTTATCCATACCAGCTCCAATCTGTGTTTCAAAAACCCATTTTGAAATGTTTTTAGTGCTTTCTGAGCACCATTTCACAAGAAAAATACTGTAGTGAAACAAAATAGTTGTTGAAACAATGTAACGAAGTTGTTTGCGCACGTAACCCATGTACGGAGGCTTATTCCTCGATTCGACCGACCCAGGTTTGAATCCGACCCTTGGTCCCTTGCCGCATGTCTCCTACTCTCTCATACCCCCTTTCCTGTCAGCCTACTGTCCAAAAAAAGAGATAACAAGTAGAATATAGGACCAGGCTAGAAAGGCCTTGTTGTGTCAATCGTTAACCTTACTTCAGAGACTTCAATAATCGCATGGTGTTCCCCAAGGCTCCATCTTCGAGTCCCTCCTATTCAGTGTCTTCCTGCTCGCACTAACACAGATCTTAATAAACAACAACATCATTTACCGTAGCGATGCAGATGAAACCCAGCTGTGTGTCTTTTTAATGTCTATTATTGAAATAAAAATCAGACCAACCAAACAGCCATATTTTCAACAACTATTTCTGGACTAAATCAAGACTATGATGGACCAACCAGATTAAGCCTAAAAACCAACGTCTGAATGACGTCTGCTGTTTGGGGGGTTAATATTGTCTACAGGTACATGGCTTAAAATAAATCACGCACGCCTAGTTGGCTGGAAATTTGTTTTAAATCCTGTGCTTTCCTACCAATATCCCTCATTAATCTTAAAATTGTGTCAAAACTTTCTGGAAATTCAGACACATACAACTAGCTTCTCCATATTGCCTTCTGGCCTTCCTGCCTGATGAAACAGTTTCTGTTGGTAGGACATCTGCACGCCATGGTCAAAGTTCAGTATAGTTGCGCTACTAAAGCAGTGCTCTGCATTGGGGTTGCACTTTGCTCGATACACGGTTTTCATGCCATTGCAAAGTGCATAGCATTAAAAATCATGGTTTACAGAAAGCAGTGACATGAACACTGTGCCCTCTGTGAAAGGACCTTTACAAAGTTGGCCTTATATAAAGTAAAGAACATTTCCTGGATTAAAGGACTAATGTTGAAAAACTATTTCTGGCTTCGTTCATCTTTAGTAGAATTTAACCAGGCAGCGTCACTAGAACTAAGAAAGTAGATCAGACAGCTGCAGCTGATCCAGATGCTGCTGCCTGCATTAAGAAATAGATCCAACAGATTTAGGATATAGAAATTTCTCTGAACCTCAATCATCTGTTTAAATCACTTGTAATCAGTGGCGGCTGGTGGAGTTTTTCTCCAGGACGGCTATAGCTTAAAAATAGACGTATACCAAAAACCAATCAAACGTATATTAAGTTATCACACCAGTATATTTATATGAATACCAACAACAAAAAACATCATAAAAACACTTTATACTAATAAAACATATTTTCATATACAGGTTTACTTTTTGTACATAAATGTTGCCCTTGTGAGGCTTTGTGAAGGTTAATCTGTGTTTCTTACGGTCCAATATTGTGTCACTAACCTAATTAAATATTGTACCAGTTTGATAATGGAAAAGCTTTTAGTCAGCTTTATATATTTTTTATGTATATAAAAACTATTTTCTGAGAATGTGTTTATTTAAGAGCAACTGTGCAAATTAACAAACATCTATGAAAAAGTAGACTATATTCTATAATTTTCCATGTGAAACCCAGATTGTTCATTCTTCTTTGCGTTTTCTAAAAAGTGCTTTAAATCAGTCCTTCCTGTCTTTATCCATGCTGGCTCAGATCCTGATGTTTGAAAAAGGAGGCAGGGAAAGTAGAATAAAGCCTTAGCCTCGCTGCATGCAGTTAGCCAAGCCAATTTGATATTCAGCTGATTAGGTCCAAATGATTTCACCTCCAGCTTCTAAGTAAGTTTGCTTCCCTCCCGGGACTCGGCCCTTCTTGGGCCCTAGGGCGGAAATACTTCACCAATCCGATGAAAAAGTTAATGACGCTTTAGTCGTTTTTAAAGATTAAATATTTATCTTGCACATCCAAAAAATATATATCAATATATTTTTAAATATTTCAATTTTTTTATTTAATTTAAAAAAAAATTTAATGTCTTAATTAAGGTAGTGGGGTGGGTGGAGCGCCCTCTATTAGCCAGCCGCCACTGCTTGTTATTCTTCTGATCAGTTCAAGGAAAATGCCTCTTTGGATACAGCTGATTGGTTGCTGGCAGAAGCATGTCTCAACTTGTTTCTTGTGAAGAAAATAAATATTTAGTCTGTATTTTATCATGGATTAAATTTTATTTTGTTTATAAAAAATAGTGAAAAGCTTCCAGCTTTTATTGCAGATGAAATAAACATAAACTGGATATTTGTGTTGTTATATTCAATAAGTTGTGCTAAAATTATCGAGGAGACACGAGTCAAAGTGTCAGTCTCTGAGACATGATCTTATGATGCATGACTGTCCCGCTGCTTTTGAAACTGGACGGTAGCTCCTGGGTTTCTCACTGACATTTTCATCACTGTAATGCAGATGGCTTACTGGCATCCTTTACTCCCTACAGCGCTGCACAAAGATGAGGCTCTGCCGAAGAAGGAGGATGAAGATAAGACCGTAAGTGTTCAAAAAACTCACTAAATATGCAGGATTGTCTTTCAAAGGTCTGTGTTACAACTAATGATATGATCTCACATCATTAGGTATACATCTATAGCTATAGAGAGGTTCAGGGACCGGTTGCGAGATATTGTCTGTTAAAAAGCAAATCTAAGAATTATTTCCAAATACTCAGAACAACCATATTTGAGATAGATAAATACATTTTAAATATGATTATTTCATGATACATTTTGGGCCTCCATGTACCCCAGGGCTCACATCACTACTATAGTGAAAACTATTGTGAGACCAATAAGCACCTTTTCTATTAGGAAAGTTTGAGCCGCAGAGACAAATGGTCAGTTAGCAGATTATTCCTTTTGCAACGATCTAGCTGCTGGTTTGGTCAGCAGTTATAAAGCATCATCTCTCAAAGGTTTTAGTACACAGCTCATCTGCCCTTAACCAATTATACAACCAATCAAGCCTGATCTGAAATATACAAAAAAAAAAAATAAATAAATCACATTTTTCATTTGTTATTGTTTGAAAGGTTAGGAAACCAAGATCCAGATATTAAACTGGAGCCACCACATGTGGCTCTTTGGACCCTCTGCAGCGGCTCTTAAAGTGGCTAAAATGTATATAAAGACCTAAATAATGTACTACAAAATAAATACCAGTCTTAAAAGCTTTTGTGTTTTTTTTTTAGATGGATAAGAAGGACTTAAAAAGAACCAGAAATATATTTTTAGAGTCACTTTCCTTTTAATTAGCTTGGAATTTATGTGTTTTAATATTATTTTAAAAGATAAAATACATACATTTTTGGTTGTTTCAGATGGCAATTAATTTCCTGTACTAGATAATAAAAAACAAAAAAATTGTTTTTCTAAAAAGTCATCTACTTTGCGGCTCTAAACAACTTTTACTTGGTTGGACTTGGGGCAAAACGGCTCTTTGGATATGAAAGGTTGCAGACCCCTGCTCTAAAGTATAGATTGTAAGGAAGGGGATTAGGGTCACTGAAGAAATACAAAAAAGTTAACTGATTTCTAGATAGTATTTCAGTTTAATATGGGAATTCTGACTTTAATCTCAAAATTCTGACATTAATCTCAGAATTTTGGATCTTAATGTAGATTCTGGTCAGAATTGGTAAATTATTTTCTGTTATAAAAAAGTGCTTGGAACATGCTCTTGTTCTAATCCTAGTTTCTCCAGCCTTATGTAGATTAGCTGGTCGTATCACAGGTTGTTTGTTTAACAACAAAACTTTCACTTTATTAACATTGTTTACCTGTTTTTATAAAATGAAGAATGTTTTAAAATGTGCTTTGTTTCTTTTTATTTAAAATCTGGAAGACGCTGGAAAAGGAGAGGGACGAGGCGATGGAGAAGCTTAACGAGTTTCAGCTGGGTGAGTTTTCTCTCTTTGCTGTCTGGCTGTATACAGTGCACTGCATATTTGCATCTTTTGACCTTTGCTTTCAAACACTTTAGAGTTGACATAAGTATCTACTTTTTACTGGCTATCATCTCTTTTAACTTCCACCATCTTATGTTGAATAAATAGCCTTTTGGGGCCTGAATAGTAGCCAAAGCATTTTGCAAATATCACAGTCTCAATAAAAAAATTAAGATTCTCAGTCATCCAGGTCATAGTCATTCCAAAAAGAGTTAAAAAACAATTCACTGGACTTTTTTTTCCTAAGTTTGATTTTCACCTCTCATCAAGGAGGCTTTTTTCATTTAAAACGTAAGAAATAGCATTGATTTCAAGGCTTTATGGATCAAAAGCAAGTTAGTCAGTGTAGATCGGCCAAACCCCATGATAAACAAACTTGGTGTCCTCTTTACCCTTTTTTAACGTATCAAATTTATACTATGTGAAGTAAGTAAGTCATTCTGAGGATATCAGTAGTGAAACCTATCATTTCTTGCTAGAGTGCATCATAACAGCAGGTCTAAACCCCGGTCACACTGTTGGTGTACGAAAGTTTATTCTCGTATCAGATCAAATTTTTTCCATGTCAGACTGACTGAGTATAGAGGCGCTCCTGCTATGCAGGGCAAGCAGATCCCGATCTGTGCAGATTTATTTTCTTTTCTGTTCCTCACAAATCGAGCACAATTTCCCACAAAAAAAGATAAAATAAAATAAATTTAAAAGAATCCAATAATTAGCAGATTTTATTTCTATTTTCCCCAAAAGGGGATGTGTTTTACTTTGTAACTGCGTTTCTCTTCCTGTCAGACCCATGAAATTACTGCTGAATTTCTGTGCAGTCTGACTAAAACAGAGCTGGGCTCTATCTCAGTCTGAGCTACGCTGCCCCCTGCAGGAAATTATCCCCATTGACCTTCAATGAGCGCTCAACGCCACAACCTCTGAGGCAGGATTTTCAGTCGGATCGGACGCAAAATCGGATTTGGTGTCTTCTGGGCTCCACATGCAACTGTCAAGTGGGGATGGAGGTTTGATGGCACCCAAATGCAGATGCAAAAGATTACAGTTGTCACATGAAAGTTTAATTAACCAAAAGTTAAACAAAAGCTGAAAACCAGGAAAACTTACAACAAGAAGGGGACAAGGTAATGACGACAAACCAGCAAAGAGTAATTGAGCAGGAGGAGAATAAATGGGAGAGAGAAACAAAGACCAGGCTAATTAGCAGATTGGGAGCAGGTGTGAACAGAGGAGGCAAGAAGGGAGCTAGGAAAAATGAGACTGACACAAGAGGGCAAATATGAAATATCTAAGAATGCAAATATAATCAAAAATACCTAGAAAACAAGAATGAAAAATAAGACCAATGACAACTCAAGATAAAACTTGAACAAAACCAAAACCATGACAGGAACCTTGTTAGAGCCAAAACCCAACCTACAGGAAGTTAGGACATAAAGAGCTAAATAATGTAAATAGGCTTTATTATAATTTAATAGATTATATTTGAGTGAACAGATTATCCAATTTCTAAATGAATAGATTGGCATTAGTTCAATTTTTCCATAGTTTACTATTTTTTTCCAAGTGCTTCTAAAGAGTTGAGTGTGTAGTAAAGCCAATGTAAAAGTCTGTTGCTTAGTCAAATATGCATGATGTCATCTACAAGGCTACTCTGTATTATGTAGCCCATTGATCCCTATTGATTGTATAATCACTACAAGTGATTAAATAGCACAGCACTGCAAACGGCAGGGGGCTGGCAGGATACCGCTATATAAACTATAAATGTATTTACAATTATTAGATTAATTAGATTAATTGGTTTTTTGCATTAGAATTAGTGTATAATAATTTAATCTGTGATAACAGCATACAGATAGGGCTTTTTAATATAATATAATATATATTATAATATATATAATATTTTTATGTATTATATATTATTTTGGTCAATGCATCTCTATTGTCTATATCCATTCATAATATTTTTGCATCTTGTCTACAGATTGACTGAATGTCTAAGAACATCATTTCTACAGTTACAAGTTTGATCGTTTTCAACTACAAGTGCTTGGTTCCAGTTACAGAGATTAACTTCCATACAGAAAGCCTATATTCTTATCTTCAGCCACCGCATTATAGATGTCAGATTAACCTTTTATAGAGCAGTTACCATTTTTGATCACTTGCATATCCCTTGCAAATGGAGTCCCCCGTCCCTAAGTGAGGTCTAGAAGCACAAGATCTATATCCAGCCATTCAGCAAAGATGCTGCTACAT